TGAAGCTTGATAAACTATCATACTTTAGATTAATTTACACAATGATACAAATTCTGAATTTAAATGGGAGCTCTTTATATTTTCTTTAAAAGACAGACTCTCTCTATCACATAAAGCCATCCAGTACCTCCCATGTGTTATATTAAGCTATTAATTCAAGCAATGCTTTGTAATAAAAGTTGACATTGGATATTTGAAACTATCAAAAACACCAAGTTCTCCAAAATGCACTTTTGTTATAAGTGAAATAAACATTTAACAGTTCTTTGCCTCAAAGTTTCATTATATACAAAGCACACTGTGCTCCAGAATAATTTATGTAACTATAAATTATATAATGTATAAACTATATGATTTATATAATTATTAAAATAACTTAAATTTAAAATGTATCAAACCTTTACATTCTTTCATCTACCTGTATATTATGGTGCCCTTTATGTAACAAAGACTGTTTTGGTTCACTTTAATGTACAAAAGAATTTAACAGGCTTTAGTCCCAGGTTACTGGAGTGGCTTCTTGAAATTTCCAGAATGAACAGATGCCTGTGTTATTGATGGTGAATCCTGGGCTTAGCCCTGAGTTTATGCCCATGAGGTGGTTCAGTGGAAGTTTTTTGATAACTTATGTGAAGGAAATGATTGATTAAGTTTGGTGGTTTGAGGTAGAAGTAACGAATCTTGCTATGAGACAGAAATACCAGCAATGTGATGAGAGAATCCTGGCAGAGAGCTTGAAAAAAGCACAATTTCTAGGGAAAAGGGTCTAAAATTTGAGCTCAACTAAATAATAATTCAACCAACCAATGGGAAACTGCACTACAAGTCTGCACAATACAACTTTAAGTTATTCCTCTGGTTAGCAATAACTACCAATACACACTGTGCTATAAGGGAACATCCTGTTCTGCAATGTGAGGAATCTTAACAAATGCCCCCACCACACCCTGCCCTATGAACCTTTCCCATTGGCTGACATTAAAGTATGTCCTGTTACTAAAATAAAACCACAATAAAAAATATAGTGCTCTCCAAGTCATTCTAATACCAGAGTTTATAGTCATTTGATAAGAAGTTGGAGTTCTTGGGATATCATAAACTTGTATCTCATGTTTGAAATGAGAATAGTATATATAGAGGGCTGTATCATTAATTGATGAAGTTCAGCTAATTATATCAGAATCTATTCTGTTCCCCTCACCCCATCACCACCCATGGAAAGCTTTCACCTTAAAGGCATAAAAGAGAAGGTTTATTCTGGAGCCAAACATGAGTACTCATGGCACTGCATAATGTCTGGCTGTGGGTCTCTGAATACACTCCCACTGATGGTGGAGGAAGCCTCTCTGATGATGGACAAGGGACCAATCTATGAGTATAGAGAATATCATTAGAAATTGTTTCATTGATTTTTTTTGACTGGTCATGTTGACTCTATCCTAGGTTTCTGAGCTATCCAGTCTTTGATTTCTAGCCATCCAAACAGTGATGCACATGGGCTCCCTCTCATGGAATGGGCTTCAAGTTAAACCACACATTGGTTGGTTCTGTGTCACCACTGCCCCAGCACATCTTGCAGGCAGGACAGATCGTAGGTCAACAATTTATTAGCTAGATTGATGTCCAGGTTTCTTTCTGTAGCCTGCAGAGTACCTTCCCATGCAAAAAGAAAAAAAATGTAGGGGTGAAGGCCCCATGCAGATGCAGGCACCAGTTCTACCTCTCTACATTCAATGAGCTGTATGGACAATGGGGTCCCAGGCAATGGGGTCCCCACTGTCAGTTTGTGGAGAGCAGCCCTCTATCAAATCGTATCAACAGCCTGTGTTGTTTTGGGATCTCCATGGAACCCTGTCAGCCAACAACTCAACTGAATGCTGCCCAGTCCCATCACTGGAAACCTTGCATGGCTACAGAAGATGTCCAGTTTGGATTTCACATGCTCCATTACTAGGAATCCTCACTAGTGTCACCCTCATAGATTCTAGGAAGTCTCTACTGTATTAGGTTTCCACACCACTGCCAAAAGGCCCCCCAATTCCAGTTGTTTCTCCTCACACTCTCTCCCTCCATCCCTTCTCATCTCCCCTGCTCCTTTCCCCACCCACTCCCAGTCCACCTGCAAAATCTATTCTATTTCCCCTTCCTAGGGAGATCTGTGTGTCCTCCCCAGAGCTCTCATCTTTATATAATCTCTCTGGGTCTGTGGATTGTAGCTTGGTTATCATTTACTTAATGGCTAATATTTATTTATAAGTGAATACATACCAATTTGTGTTTCTAGGTCTTTCTTACCTTACTCAGGATGAATTTTTCTAGCTCCATCCATTTGCCTGTAGATTTTATGGACATCATCTTTTCTAACAGCTGAGTAATACTCCATTGTGTAAATGTACCACGTTTTCTTTATCCATTCTTTAGTTGAGGGACATCTAAGTTGTTTCCAATTTCTGGCTATTATGAATAAAGCCACTATGAACGTAGTTGAGCAAGTGTCCTTGTAGGGGGGTAGAGGTATCCTTTGAGTATATGCCCAAGAGTGGTATAGCTGGGTCTTGAGGAAGATTTAAGTTTTTTAGTTTTTTGAGAATTTCATATATGAGTGTGGTATTTACATCATTTCTGCTTCTCCCCTCCATTTCACCTGTGTAGTGTAAATGTCATATTTTAATTCAGGTTAGTTTGCTATACCTGATATTTTGAAGATAACACAGACTTAAGGTTTGCCCAAATATCAGGCTCCAGTGAGGTAGTAATTTCATGAACATTTATATTAACCAAACAGAAAAGGTCATAAAAATCACACACTTCAAACACATGAGTGGTCATACCACGCAAACAGGTTACAGCAAAGCAGGAAAACCTCTGTTATAAGCATCTGACAGCATCCCTAGGCCTTTGGTTGGTAGAAGCTAGGGGTCTGTTCATACTTTGCAAATGATTTACCTAATAATAAAAAAGATGTTAGGTCACATACGGAAAAGGTAATAAAGGCTTTGAATGGGGCTAAAGATGGCCCAAGATAATTGGCTATGGACTTGCAACATTCAAACTTCTCCCAATCATTGAAGATCTTCTAGTCAGTCACCAGCCTTTGTAGACATGACCCCTTTCCAGGAACTCTTATTCTCAGAAATCTCATACCTATCAAGGTAACTATTGGAATAAACTGATTTAAAGCAATTAATAGCAAAGCTTAGTTCTCGTTTACTGGATAGTAAGCCCTGTTTTGAGGATATTTTTGGATATATAAATTGCTGACTAATAAAATTTTTTCTTATATTTATATTTGTAGTAATTTGAATGAGAATGTTCCCATAGGCTGATGTTTGAACAGCTGGTCCCTAGTAGGTATTATTGTTGGGGAGGTTTATGAGACTCTGAGTGTTTATTACCTCACCCAACTTCCAGTCTACTCTCTTTTCTTCTTGTTTATAGTTGAAGATGTGAGCTCTCAGCTTCCTGCTCCTTCCACTATGCCTGCAGCTTACCTCCCTACCATGATGGACTCTTATCCGGCCAGAATCATAAGCCCAAATAAACTCTTCCTTTATAAGTGTGTTGGTCATGGCGTTTTATAACAGGAACAGGAAAGTAACTTTTGTGTGTGTGTGTATTTTGAAACAGAGTTTCTTTATATAGATTTGGAGCCTATTCTGGAACTCACTCTGTAGACTGGGCTGGCCTCGAATTCAGAGATCTGCCTGCCTCTGCCTCCCAAGTGCTGGGATTAAAGGCATGCACTACCACCACCCAAAAAGTAACTATTCTTAAGAGATTGTCTTTGTATTCATAATATAGAGTAACAAACAAGTTAGCAAGCAGTCTACTGAAACTCGAGAATCACTCCATCTTTCTTCTCTGCTAGGATGCTCAGATACTACCCAGGTAAATGTCCTTGTTATATTTGAAGGGTTCACAACACGCCCCCATGGTCGGGCATATTTGCATATGCCCGGTGGACACTTCCGCCTAGCCAGTTCCAGGTCAGGATAGCCACTTCCGGGTCAGGGCATCTCTCATAACCAGGATGCCCAGTGGACCTGGACACTTCTGCCTAGCCAGCTCCAGGTCAAGATAGCCTTTTTCGGGTCAAGGCGCCTCGTGTGACCAGGATCCGTGATGTTTCATGGTGATGTAAGCGCGCAACATGGCCATATGATCTACACACATGCGTGGAGTAGTGACGTGACCTGGGCACACCCAGCCTTTAAAATCCAGCGCCACGTTCCCGGTTCCTTCTTCTTCTCCACACACGTCTCTCTCACAGGCCTGCGCACTCTCTGTCCCTTTATCTTTAATAAAACTCTTATTAGTGGATTCTGTCATGTTTCATGACATTTCCTTGCAGGGTCAAAGCACAACGCGGCCAATTAACTAACAATACTGGTCTCTGGAACCCACATTATATCCTATATGGATCTTCAGTGTGAGAAGTTGTTTTGCAGTGATTGAAAAGGCACCAGGTCAAATATGACTGTAGCTATGTAAGAGTTTTCTTATCAAGGGATTTAGTGTTCTATGAAAAAGACTTCAACTGCAGGAAAAGATAATCTGGCATTTGCCCCAACATTATCAAGGAAGCTTACTCTTTTGATTTTATTTTTTGAAATGAAATTTCAAATGAGGAGATAAGTTCAGAAATTGTAAATGTCTTTGATATGGGATCAAGGAACCATTCATCAGAAATGCCAGCACAACACGTAATTCCCTAAGCTCAACCAAAACTTAATGTCAAAAGCCTTGATTTCTCCTTGCCAAAAATGATAACCTATCATATTCACGTAAATGAACTGAACAACTGAAATGTTCTCTTATTCAATTCTCATGCTACTTTCATGCCTCGTAACTGTGGTTACAAGAGTTTAAAAAAATAAGGAACCGAAAAGAAGAGTCATAGCCACTTTACAAGAGCAATTCACCACTTCACGCTTCATTTCTTAGGAGACAAATGCCATGCAGTGCTAAGAAGCAAAGCATCATGAAGGTAATTTATAGACCACTGTCTCAGAGAGGGACAATGTAGAAGACTGACTAATGTGTGAACCATCTGCCTCCTGAATTTCCCATTACCCAGATAACTTTGCTATTCTCCCTGCTTGTTCTTAGTTAGGGAGTGAATTCAAAGGAAAAGACAAGTTTTCTCATAACTTTTTGTGTGTCTGTATTTCTCTTTAAGCAGCAGGAACTGTCAGAAACACACACACACACACACACACACACACACACACACACACACATACACACACCCCAGAACACTGGAGAGGAATGATTGAAATGCTCAGTATTGAGGCACATTTATGTCCTCCTAGCACAAGGAATTTCAACATGACCTAAGTAAACTTAAGTCTCTGTGTTTAATGATGTACCCAGGACTATATTCCTATGTATTTGTTCTGTTTGTTCACTGAAATTCTGTCTTCTTCTGGAAAGAGTCTGAGGTACATTAAAGTAAGAATATGTCAATAAGATAATATTGCAATGTGAAAAAGAACACCCAGACAGATAAATATACAAATAAGAAATGCATACCAAATCTATGGATAAGTAAATCATGAAATCCGTTCCATGGTCTTCAGGTAGAGTAATTCAGGGGATATTATCACTCATTTGTTTTTGTTTTTGTAGAAGCATATCATAAACCACATGCTCTAGGAAATAAGTGTATAGGCAGAGTTCATGTTGAGGTATTTCCTACCGAGGTTTCTTGGGCTTAGTTCCCATTGTGGCATGGACAGCCACATGGGCAAAGAGAGGAGTGAGGCAATGAAAACAGGGAACAAAGGCTTCCCTGTGATTGGAGCTGAAGTTGAAAGTGGCTCTACCAAGCGTTTTTAATTGGCTAACACAAGCCTTTATTCTGTCATTCCAGATTCAGTTTGGTCATCATGGGATGCAGGCTGTTCCTGGAAGTGGAATGATGTTGAATCATGTTGATTTCAGTAGAAGATGAGGAAGGGTGGGTTGCAAGTGGTAGAAGATGAGGAAGGGTGGGTGGAAGGGAGCCTTAGTTGCAAGTGGTAAGAAGGCAGTATGTGTGAATTTGTCCTGATGGCTGTGATAGATTCAGGCAGATCCCCCAGTGTCCACTACAAAACAGAAACTAAGATACTCTATGGAAGCAAAATTATCCCAAAACAGGATGAAAATCAATGGTTTTCATTACTTGGTATTTAAAAAAAAAAAACCTGAATAATATAATGGAAACAAATTCTCACCAAAGTCTGCAGGAAACACAATTAGCATATTTCATGGAGCTGTTTTCTATAGCACCTTTGATAAGGCACACCATTAGAGAATTTGTGCACAAGAGTGACTCTGAGAGAAGACAGTCAAATAAGAAGGTACCTAGGGTCCAGGCTACTGCACATCCAGGTACAATCACTCAGTTACTCATGTCTTAATTAAAAAAAAAAAAAAACACGAATATCTGCTTTGTGCAAGGCATCATGCTTTGTATAGGAACTATGACATTAAATGAGAAAAGATGCCGCAGAGATCATGTGTTTTTTCAAAAATCACATGAATGCAGGTGAAATCACAACTTTGATAATGAGTACCAGAGAGTCATCTATCAAATTTCATCACAGCTTCTAACTGGGAGCTGATAGGGGGTTGTGAAGGTGAGAGGCAACTCCTTGAGAAAGGTTGAAAGAGATGACAAGTCTTTCTTGATGTCTGGTGGTTCCTTGAAGAGAAATGAGGAAGCAGATCCTATACTTAAAGGAAACAACAAAAATCAAGAAGGCTACTGTGGAAGGCATTTATGCTCACCACTATACCACCAACTTTGCATTTGAATGTAAGACCTGATTGCTGAAGATACCACACACTTTTAACACAGAACTGGAGGAACTTATTGAACTAAACTAGAAGCCTCCTCTGTAAGGACTAGCTCTAATAGCTTCAGATGCTATTTAAGCTGCCAAAGGAAAAAGCAATCAATAGTCCTACTCAGTTGTAAGACATGTAAGCCATGATAATGACCATCCTGCATAATATCCCCAATAGTGACATAGTGGCACATATATTTTGGGAGTAACTAAGAGTTGTATAATTGGACTTAGGGCCCACTAGATAGGTGGGAATCTGACTGGTACTATAAACCAATTCAACTACTCATAGCCAAAGAGGAGGCTCTAGAGAAGAACCTATTACTGCCATTTCCCTAAAGTGATAGTTTCTAACTGTATTATAAATACTTGCCCTTATACCCACAAATAAATACAGATGTCATGCCTCATCAAAGGAGCTCCTTTTTTGCAGCAGCAGCTGAGGCCACTACAGAACTCCACAACAGGTCAAAATGAAAGGAGTAAATAACTACAGTGAGCCCATTGTCAATTAGTACAAATACAACACAACCCCTATACCTAAGTCTTAGGGAAGAGGAGGCAGAAAGATTGTAAGAGCCAGAGAACAAAGACGCCAGCTAGCTATAACATCTTAGAAAGATGGTTGTGTAAACAAGACCTGCATAATAATACCAGTTGAGAAGCCAATGTGTATGGGAGACATTTCACAAGCCCCTACCCCTAGGTGAAGAGTTCCAGGCTAATGGCTTCTGTGAGATGGAGATTGTAGCTAGTTTTCCTGGTCCTGCCTGGCCCACAGTTAGGACAAATCTCTCTCACCCACCAGTCCTGCAGCTGCTCAGACCTAACCAAGTAAACACACAGAGACTTATATTACTTATAAACTGTATGGCTGTGGCAGGCTTCTTGCTATCCGTTCTTATATCTTAAATTAACCCATTTTTATTAATCTATAAGTTGCCATGTGGTTTGTGGCTTACCAGTATCTTACATCATGTTTCTCCTCATGGCACCTGGCAGCATCTCCTGACTCATCCTTCTTCCACCCAGCATTCTCCTTTCTCCTTGTCCTGCCTACACTATCCTTCC